GCTTGTGGGATCTTGTCTTCCCGTTAAAGAGATATCGCACGGCCTGCACCTCGTCCAATAGAGGATCGACAGGACTACTCTACAGCGCACGTTTCTAGCTACCCTCGTCAAGGCTCGAATGTCCTTTAGATAGTTTATCACGTTAGGCTGTGCCTATAGCTTAGTTTTCTAAGACATAGTAGGACTTTTCTAATAGATCCTAGGCAACTAGCTTGCCTACTGTCTCTTACAGCCAAACTTCCTACGAAGCTTTTAAATAAAATATTTAAAAATTAAGAATTTATAAGTTATTAATTAAGTAAAAGATAACGTGGTTCACAAGTGAGTCGCTAACCCAAGCGAGTCGCTAACTGTAACGGGCTGAACGCCCTTTGGATAGCTCCTCGATGGAATCTCGGGCCAAGCTGCGCGCGCACCATCTGAACTACGTTCAGACCGAGCAGCGCTCAGACAACGCGCTTAGATACTCTAGCATAACCTTTCTCTAATAAGTAAATAAACACCACGTAAGTAGAGTAGATAGCTTCTTATTAAATACAACCTCTTATATACCTCGCGATTGCTCCCTAGAGCGCAGCCCCTTACATTTTATATTTAATTCTAATTAGACATAAGCCCTAGGCAGACTATCTTCTAACTAAGTTTTAGAACGCGTTGTTAGCTTAAACTAATAACACAGAATTAGTGCTGTAACAGGTACAAAAGGTCGTTAGTACAGCGTGTGGGTAGATCGTCGCAAGATAGTACACTAAGGGCAGAAAGTAATACTAATAAGTACTAATTAAGTCTTTTATAGTATTAAAAACTTACTTTATACGTAATTAAGTAATTAGTACTACTAAAATATTATTAGTAACTTAGAAAAGTAACAACATAAGCGTTTACTAGCTTTTTATTGACTTACTAAGTTTAAAAATCTCTTTAGTACTACGTAAGTACGACTAAGATATATCTTTTTATTTAATTTATTACGTTTTACATATTTTTAACTTCATAAATAAAGAATTAGCTTAAGGTGAATCATCTACTACATGTAAGGGGCTCGACCCCGGAGGGTAGTCTTAAGCTCGGGAGCACGATCGGACAGGCCAAGGTAACAAGATTGTATTCGATAGAGAGCTAAGCTCTCGGCTACGTAGCTATCTATATACAATGCTGGTTGCTAGGGTAACAATCGGGCCGGGCAGGTGGAGTAAACGAGGTCGTAGACGAGTATGGGAGGCGAAGGGCGTTTAGCCCGTTACACTACATTAAAAATAAGTTAAAGTTAGCTTTTAAAACTACTTATTGCTTTATAACCTCAATAGACTTAGTCTTAGTAAGGAACAGCTAATATAGCTTTTACTATTAGTTACAGTAATTTAAATAATTAAGTAATTATTAATAATATATAACGTGGTTCACAAGCGAGTCGATCACCCAAGCGAGTCAATCACGCTCCACCAGCGCGTCGACGTCGACACGTTATTACAGTCTTTTATCACAGTTAATAAACTATTACAATATACTAAATTAATTATTAAAATCGCTACTATCACTTGCACTATCTATCTTAACCGCGCAGGTATGAGCGTTGTGTCCAGTCTGCTTGCAACGCCCGCACCGCCTCTCTCCTCGCACCCTCTTCGACGCACTCTCACCATCACCACGACTGCTACCTGCCTATTCAGCTATTACTTCTTGTACCTCGCCTATAGTAAGAGTCTCTTCTATCTATACGTATCGCCGCTTACGGCTCTTACGCTTATTTAATTTATCTAGAGCTGCTCAAAGAGTACTCATTTCCTCTATCATAAGCGTCATTTTATGTGCTATTTGCTAAGCCCTCTTACTTAACTACGCAATTTACTTAGTAAGTAAATTGGCAGAAGACCTACAGCGTTTTCTCACGCTCTCTTAAATAAGACCAATTTGAGCCTTAACTTCGCGCGCGTTGCGTAGTGTCTGCGCCTCCTAGGCGGCTGCCTGTCGTGGCGATTGATGTGGTGTCCGCACCACCACATCAAGCTTTGATAGCACAGCCTGTGGGTCGTGTGGGACTAGACCAGCGCCTCTAAAGCTAGCTTGGATATTCTCCTTTGTAATAGACTGCTTAAAAGCAGCCTTAAAGGCTAGTAGGAAGGTCTCTTTACTGATATAGCTAGTGCGGTTGCGTGCCAAGCCTAAGATTGAGTCGCCATACTTGCGCTTTAATGGCGAGAAGCAGGCGACATTAAGAGGCTGCAATAGGTGAGACGAGTGCGCAGGCATATAGAGAAGAAGAATATTCTTCTCCTTGCAAAGATCTTGAAAATTGACAAAGCAGTGGCTCTTATGGCCGTTAATAATAAGTAGTTGATACCTACCTATAGTCTGCCTCTTTGTATAGGTATTAAAGTGCTCTAACTACGCAAGAGCAAGCTAATTATTTGTCTAGCTATTTAGACTAACTTTAAGGACCTAGTTAGTAGGTAGGTCTTTAAACTAGATGTTAATAAGCACCTTGCCCGCAAAGACAATAAAGGGGGGTAGCTGGCGACCTAACGCGCCCACGCCTTAAATCACAGTAACCCACTTATGGTTGCCTGGCTGTATCCGCTTCTTTTTGCCATAACCTTCTAATGCTGTGATAACTAACTGTGATAAAATCTTGCCTATTATAAAGCCAGTCTCGTTAAAGTTATAGATATCGTCGTCCACAATACCCCACTTCTGCTTTGTCGCCTGGACTAAGTCAAACTAGCGCTAGATAGCCGCTAGGTCCTCGCAGATAGCTCGCTAGTGATTGTAAGGTGTTACAAGTAACAACAGAAAGGATCTCCTTCCCTGTGCTGATGGTATAGTGGTTAGGAAGCCACTTGGGATACCAGCGGGAAATGATGGACGTGGCGGGGTCAAGTCACGTGATGTGCCATCACGCTAAGACGGTGCCATTAGTGATGGCAGGACCCGCATGTGATGGCAGCTATCAGAAGTGGAGACAACCATCAGTGATGGCAGGTCGAAGTTCTGATGGCAGGACTGGAAGCAATGAGGATATAAGGATGGATGGATTTCATTATTACTCTCGTTGTGGTCAACTCAAATTGTACTTTCTTACTAGTTACTCAACTTCACAAGATTAATACTCGTTAATCTATTTAATATAGATTAGGAATTGTCAAACCTTTTGTTATCTATCTTACAAGCACGCCCACTCCACTGCATCGCTAGACAACCACCTCACGGCGCTCTTCACACCATCTCACTCGCCCTAACCCGGATCGAGCTTAGAGAAGTATCAGCACCCAACCCCGTGTAACATAAGGATAGCTCTAGCGCGTGTGGAGCTTAGGGGTCCTCTTAATAAAGTTGTTAATCTAGTTCTTGCTAACAGGGTTGCTCCCACGCTTATGTAATAGTTTATTAGCTATTACTTAAACGTTAGGCTTTGTAGGCGCAAATCCTCGCGCAGACTCTTTAAGAATACGCCTAACTATAGCCTCCTCTTCTAGCTTATTTAGGCGCTTTGAATTCGGCTCGCAGTCGCGTTGGGGGCGCTTTCTAGTACGCTGGTTAGATAGAGTACTTTAAGGCACGTTATAGATAGAGGTAGCACGTCTTTAGCTTAGAACACGTTGCGATTAGAAGTTAAAGAGAGCAAGTTAAAGATCTAATTTAGTATAGAAAGTCTAAGTAGTGCGTTGTTAAGTTATTACGCGTTGTAGTGTCGACGTTGACGCGCTGGTGGAGCGTGATCGACTCGCTTAGGTGATCGACTCGCTTAGGTGATCGACTCGCTTGTGAACCACGTTATACTTATTTTAGTTGTTTTATATATATTTTTAAATAAGTGATTAGAATTATATTATGATAATTTACTATAATAAATATACTTTATATACTATGAGCTTTTATATTAGATTAAGAACTATTACGTAATTAAATAAAAAACCCTACTTACTATCAGTTTCTAAGTAGTATTTACTTGGTTTTAACCTTCTAGTAGTAGTAATAGCTTGAACTAATTTTAGCTACTTAGTATCTTTTTAGTTTCTTAAGCCTTTTTTGAGATTCAACATTATTTAATTTAAAAGATTAAATAGCTAATTATATATTAACTAAATATATAAAATTCAAAGTCTTTAGCTCTTACTTTAAGATATAGCAGCTATTTGAGAATAACTAAGTATTTAAGTAGTTATATGTGTGAGAGTGGAACTGCGTTAGGAAATGGCAGTTTCCCAAGACGGAAATGGAGGGTCGCTTGGCTACTCGCTGCTTTTATTTGGCTCGTGCGCTGACCCCATCGTATATAACCATGCTTCCCTTGCTGTTCTACTTACTTTCCACTCTCGTTCCTTTCCTCTCTACTCTTCACTTCCTCCAATTGGTCGCTCGGACGGAGTCCATGAGGCATTTTTGTTCCCTTGTAAGTCATGCAATCGCTGCACTGCCTAGCTGTGCCATCTACCTTACCCACCCTTTTGGGATCCACGATTCAGCCTTTGTGCTGTGTAATCCGCCAAACCTTCTAGACACATTTTCCTCGACCATCTTGCTAGCAGCTCTATTTCTACTTGGAATTTGACTAGCCTAACTATTTCGCCTCTCTTATATTAGAGATCCTTTGCATTCCGGCTTTCCTAGACAGTTTGTAACTGTTTTTTAACTTTGCCAATTTCAAAACTCGAGACGCCTTCCAGTCTGCCCACCGTCGATCTGCCACGTTATTAATCAAATAGACCAGCAACAAAGGGGCCTTGACTACCTTAATTACGCGTCAACAGGAACCGCTAAGCTAGTAAAACTCCAGCTAGACACCTAACGAGGTTACTTTGACACAGGGGGTTAGAGAGGAATAACCAGGAGCCAATGGGCTAGGCAGTTTGTCTCATCCTTGCATATTCAAGCGCGGTTACTCTTCGCCCTTATCACATCGCAGGGGTAGGACGGCAGTGCTGATGCATAACCGCGGTGTGCGTGTAGGACTAGCTAAGCCACTTGTTTATGCATGCAAAGCATCATATGCATTCACCTAGTTAGACGGACGGTCGATTGGCGTCAGGTCGCTCCTTTGGCATCACTACAACCAGGGTCGAGCGACACAGCCCTCCAGCATGTTGCTTCTGGCCTCTTCGCCTGAAGAGTGCAGATGTAGGAGGAGTCATCTAACATTTGCAGTGGCAAGCTTATTAGTCTGCTAGGCGCCTACTAGGGTTGCAACTAGTTTCACCTGCTTTAACGCTAGATGGTTTGCCACTCTCTCGCGTATGCAGATGTTGGTGTCCTTCCCAGCCATCGCGGTGCGAGCCCACTGCTCCCAGGTCGTTCCGTTAGTACCAAGATCAAGCCTAAGTGAAATGGCCTTCCAGGCTACAGTAGGCTTCCGCATCCCCTCGTGGTGTTTCCTCACGCCGCCTAAAAACTAACGTCTAAATCCTAAACTCGAAATCAAGCCAGTATCTGCGTTTCGGAGTGCCCGGCGAGCTAAACAACCTAGTTCAGAGTCTCCTTAATTAGTAGATAGGCTCTAATAAAAAAGGTGCGTAAACTATAGCACAGCCTGAAGCATAGGAGCATGTATTGTACTTCCTTATTTCTAGTACAAGTATTAGTAGAAATTTAGTCACATTCCTATACAAGAATAAAGGGGCTTTATGCGAAGGCTATATTGCTGCCAAGATTTTGCAGCCACATAATACATTCAGGTCCACAGCTTAGAGCTAATTCAACTCTAGCCTAATATACTATTGGCAAAGATCCGCAGTTTAGATCACAGGCTTGTATAAGCTAGTACCTAATGACCTCAAATGTGGTACATTTACCTATTTAAACCTCTACGTCCCCTCTCTCACGCAGCAACAGCGCTTCTTCAAGCTACAACAGCAGCAATATTATCGTTCTCTAGTACCTTTCCTATCTCTAATCTAAACAATCCTCTTCAAATCATACAGTACAAAGGGCCTAAGGAAACCTCTCGTCATAAACCCTTAAAGGGGCTGTTAAGCAAAAACACTCAAAAACTAAACACTAAACTAGAGAGCAAAGGAGATCTTGCACCTACGTCAGACGGAGCTAAATTGATCAATTTAACATCCTCAGGTAGGTAACTCTACAGCCGACGAAGCTATACTATGCTTATTCTAGCGTTCTATTGTAACTAACATAGACATAGATAGAGAAACTAATAGCAACATCAGCGGTACCGCAGGTGAAGAAGTTAGTAATATTAGCAGTTACGAAAAATTTACACTTCTATGCGAAATTAAAGGCAGAGAGGACGAGAACTCAAATAAGCTAACTCCCAATATTACTAATCAAGGTAAGCGCCTAGGTACGATCTTAATAGTAGCGCATTTCTAACATTGCGCAGAAAGTACAGTCATTATTAAAGACAGTTAGCCTAGCTTAGATATAGACAAGGGTGACTTACATGAAAACAATGCAAATATGCAGGCAGGTCACGAGCTTAAGGTTTCAAGCACCACAGCCACGGGTACTTATGGTGGGAAGTTCTTTGTCAAACAAGCAGCGCAAGACTATTTCCGTACCGTCGAAAACAGAAGCAGCAGCAATACTAATAGGGATTATGACAATTGCGACAATTCGACTACGGGGCTCACCAGCAAGCGGAAACGCCTACAGCCAACCTAGCAGCGAATGTACGACAGCGATGACAGCAGCGATAACAGCAGCAAATATCGCGCGCGCAATCATAAGCGGCAGCACACTCACAACACTACTAACAACAATAACGATAACGAGTATGAAGTAGAGGATATTGTCGACTCCCATGTCTATTGCCGAAAGCTAGAGTACCGTGCTAATTGGGTGGGATATAGGAAAGATCCAAAATAGTACAAGGCGTCTAACTTCAAAAATAGCCCATACAAACTTCGAGATTTCCATAGGCACAATCCTTCATGGCCAGGCCCTCTGAAAAGGTTGCGTATTTAGATAGAGTGCTAGGAGAATGTAGGCAGTCATTCTAATGATGATAAGCCTAAAAAACGAAACATCTAGTTAGTATATTGTTGACGGACTGGCCTTTCGAACTCGTGGTTGTTCTATCTCTTTATTTGTCCTCACCTACTATATTAGCGCAATCTTAGGTTTTGCTGCCTTAACTGTCATTAATTATAGGCTACCTCTATTAGCTTAACGTATGGAGTTAATTTAAGTAAAGGAGAGATAAGGCTATAATGCATTCTAGACCTATCTACTCGACCACAGTTGTAGTAGCGTGTCTCTTTTGGCTTAACTAACATGGCCAACTATGGAAGACTTACATAACTTCTTACATGACTAAGATTGAAGTCATTGCTATTTATTAGTCAAATATAACAATAGATCTAGATTAGGAAATAGTAGGCCTGCATTAGAAAATAGTAGATCTGCATTAGGGAAACAGATAAACTTCGTTTAGGTAATGCAGGCTTTGGCTTGCGAAGTTCAGTAATACTACCTAAATAAGAAGCTAGCCTAGACTATAAGCCATAACAGACCATCTTCCCGCTAATTTCCCCTAGCCAAATTAGGTAGTTTTCCTGCCTATTCGTACCAGAAACTATTCCCATGCTCAGCTCTACTTGCATCCTAACAAATTTAGGATAGGCATTATCCTTCCACGTGAAAATTCACGTCTACGTGCATATCCAACGCGGCATCTAATCTGGCCCCACGTTTGGAGCTTTAGCTCTTCTTTCAGCCTCAATCGTCGCACTCAGTGATAGAGAGGCTATTCTTATCGCTTTATGGGTCAGGTGCTCCAACTCATTGTGACCTCATACTGTCAGAACCAAGAAATATAGATAACGGGTCGTAGTTACTCAGCGCTTTCGTGCTAACATGGTAGTTTACCTCAGCGGATAGATCAATTGAACCAATTAGAAATGCTCCTTTATGCTTGTTTCTCTACAGGCCTAGGAACTTGATGATTAGCGCCACTCCATGCAAGCATATATGCCAAGTGACTAGATAGGTTAGTTATAAAGAGAACCTTTCCTAAATAACTACTCTATTATAGGGTTTTATCATATTATTATTATTATTATTATTATTCTAGTTTAACGTCCTTTTTCAGCCCGAAGGGCTATATAAGACGTGTAGGGTTTTAGGCCTACAAGTATCTAAGTAGGTTGTTCTAGCTACGATATTTAGGAGGGGTTTTAACTAGATGAAGGTGAGGCTCGTAGCCTATTGGT